TTCAAACCGTTAGGTTTCTACTATAGTCCTTATAGTTACTTGACTGAATAATTTTGAGATCCCGAAAACTTTTGTCCTGGTTTTTGAGTGACCAAATTTTGATGTTGTTTGAACAGGAAGCATTTTCTACAATGTTCTCCAGGCGTGTTAAACAAGAACTATGAAAAGTTGATTCAGTGTGACAGGCGTCTTTATATTTTGAGCCAACAACTCGAGATAGTTATGGATTCGCCATATTTTGAAGCACGTGCTTCTACTTTTGAAAATCCGGAAGAATCCAGAGGTCGTGAATTTGATCAAGTGGTTGCCGCTCAAGGATATTCTCTCTCTAGCTTCCAGAATGTAGAATTAGCAGCTACCACACAATCATCACCTTTAACTACTGGACAGAATCCTAATCCTGTGACTGCTGGATACGTGCCTGAAGAAACCTTGTCCTCCTGCTCAGGTACAGCAACGTCTCTAGTGAAGCTGATTTTCAAGTAATAAATAAAAACAATAAAATCTAAGCACTCATTATGAGTAACAATTTACTTATCAGCTTTTCTCCACATAGGATGCGTTGCTGAAAGTTGATCTTGCAAATTATTTAGTCGTAGTCATAATTTTGAATTCATTTTCAACCAAAATTTGAATAATCACATTGTCTACTGTTACTAGTGATGGCTACGGGTGCGATTGAACAGAATGGAACTTGTGAAGGGCATGCTTATTTGCAGCAAAGAAGCTGGGAACAACTGAAGGTGCAAGATCTCCATCCATCTATGTTGATGGGTGATCTTGAAAACCACATTGAAAGCTGTATTTTAGAACAAGTAACTACTGGTATTGTGCCTTCAGACAAGACACCAGAATTTTGGGATGTAATGGAAAACATTAAACAAGATTTACTTAGTGACACCCAAAGTACGACCTTTTTGGATGAGAAATCTCTATTGAAAAAGGTCGATTCTCTCTCCTCCCTCTTGCAAGATCCTGGCACAAGTTCCAGCACGAAAGTCAAATAATGAAATTACGATGAAAGTGCTA